AGGAAGATAGTGTTTGGAATATTGACTCAAATCTCATAAGAGATTTGTTTGAGATTTGTTAGAGATTTGTTTGAAATTTTTCAGATATTGCTTGATGGACAAGAAGACTTGCAAAAGAAGAATTCTAAAAGAAAGAGAATTCTTAATAGGTAAGTTTGACTTGCAAGAGAAGAATTCTAAAAAGAAAGAGATTCTTAATAGGTAAGATTGACTTACAAAAGAAGAATTCTAAGAGGAGAGGGATTCTTAATGGACAAGTTTGTATGGTTATAAATAGGTAAAGTATCTACAGGGTTAGGTATGAGAAAAAGATGTAAGAGAGTTGTAGGGTTTTATGGGATAGACACCCCATAGGAGTATTGGGGCTTTACGTCTTATGGGTGTGTATGTTTATTTATGAGTGGACTAGAGGAGATTGAGAGGGTCCATATAGGTATAATGTATGGAAACATATAAGTATGTGTTTGGTTGTGTTAAAAAGGTGCACAAGAGTTTGGGTTTTTATTTGTTTGGGTAGAGAATACTTCATAGGACTAGAGGAGATTGAGAGTGTCTTATGAGTATTGATTGTTGAGTGGGGTTGATGATATGATGTATGTTTGTAATTCTCTATAACTAGTGGATCTTGTTTCTCATCCGTGGATGTAAGTCAGTTGGATCGAACCACGTTAAATTATTGTTTCTTGTGTGTTTGATTTATTATTTGATTTCGCTTCCGCTGGTGTGATTGGATTTGAGGCTTTTAGCCCAACAGATAGGTCGAATCAAGCAAACTTGGAACAGATGAGAGTGGTTCGGGAGGAGCTGAATTTGGCCATTAAAAGGGAAGAGTTATTCTGGTCACAAAGATCACGGATTAATTAACTCAGGAAGGGGGACCGCAACACGACTTTTTTCATGCAAAAGCTAACCAACATAGAAGATGCAATAATATATAAGGATTGAGGATAATAGGGGCGAATGGTGCGAAGAGGATGAACGGATCACAAAAATTGCCACTAACTACTTTCAAAGCTTATTCCAAATCAAAGGGCGTGGAAACATGGAAGAGATCCCTGAAGCAGTGGAAAGCCGAGTATTCGACGAGATGAACGATCTTCTGCTAATGGAGTTCATTACTAAAGAGATCCAGATGGCCATAAAACAAATGCATCCATTAAAATCCCCAGGACCAGACTGTGTGTTTGCGTTATTTTATAAAAAATTTTGGCATTTAGTAGGTATTGATGTAACCCAGTTCTGTCTTTCCTTTTTAATGAGAAGGGTAATTTGAGGGAAGTCAATCACACCAAAATAGTCTTAATCCCCAAAATAAGTGACCCTAGGAACATCATGCAATTTAGACCCATTAGTTTATATAATGTGCCGCATAAAATTATTACTAAAGTGCTAGCAAACAGGCTAAAATGTGTCTTTCCACATTGCATTAGTGAGTCTCAAAGTGCTTTTGTCCCAGGGCGACTAATCACTGATAATATTTTGGCTGCATATGAACTTCTCCATTCCTTTAAAAAAAAAAAAAAAAAAGATGGACAGAAAGGATACTTGCTTTAAAGCTCGAAATGAGTAAAGCCTATAATAAGGTTGAATGGGATTTCCCAAAAGAAATGATGGGCAGAATGGGTTTCAAGCCTAGATGGACATCTCTTATAATGCAATATGTCACAACCGTTTCTTATTCGATTATTATAAATGGAAGCATCATTGACAAATTTTGGCCAGGAAGGGGTCTTAGGCAAGAAGACCTTCTATCTTCGTATTTGTTTTTATTATGCAGTCAAGGATTGTCATCTTTGTTAGCCAAGCTCAGAGAGGGCTCCATCGAAGGAGTCCAAGGTAGCCGAGATGGCCCCAGAACGACTCACCTATTCTTTGCAGATGACAACTTATTGTTCGCTAAGGTAACATCAAGTAAAGGCGAGAGGGTGAAAAGCATGCTACAAAAGTACGAAAAAGGCTCCAAGCAGCAGATCAACTTCGATAAATCAACACTGTATTTTAGCACAAATACGGGACAAGAGCAGAAAGAGATCGTTAAAGAAATGTTTGGAGTGCAAGCCACAGAAAGTCCTGAAAAGTATCTTAGGCTGCCATCAATGGTGGGGAGGAATAAAACAAGAGCTTTCAGAGAGATCAAAGAGAGGATCAAATAAAAAAATAGAAGGGTGGAACAACAGATGCTCACCACAAGGTGGGAAAGAAGTTTTCATTAAGTCAGTTTTACAAGCTGTCCCAACCTATGCTATGAATTGTTTTATGCTACCAAAAAGCTTGTGTAAAGAAATTAATAGCATAATCGAGAGATATTGGTAGAGGCAAGGGACAAATGTGAAAGGCATTCATTGGTTTAAGTGGAAAGAGCTGTGCCTACCCAAATCGAAGGTTGGATTGGAATTTAGAGAAATGGATACTTTTAACAAGGCTTTGCTGGGAAAAAAGGGCGGAGGCTCATATCCAAACAAACACATTAGTGAACCAAGTCCTTAAGGCTGGGTATTTCCTGAATACATCCTTCATGGGGTCAAGGTTGGGCCATAACCCCTCACTCACGTGGAGGAGCATACGGGGGTTAAGGAGATATTAGTTAAAGGGTTAAGATAGCGGGACGGCAATGGGCAAAACATTCACATATGGGAGGACAATTGGCTCCTAACGGCATGGCCTTTCAAAGTGAAAACACAACGAGGAAAGCAGTAGGAAAATACCATGGTGGCACATCTCATAGATCATCAAGGCAGGTATTGGAACAAAGAGATTATCAATGGAATTTTCACACCGTGGAAAGCAAACATAATCTGTACGATACCAATCAGCTTTCTAAGCAGCCCTGATATTCTAATGTGGCATCATGATAACAAAGGGGAATACACAGTGAGAAGCACCTACAAAATCCTAACGGAAGAGGGGCAACAAGTAGGGGTTGAACAAATGCAACGTAACCCAGAGATGGCATGGAGGAAATTATGGAATGCAAGTATCCACCCTAAAGTCCAGATATTGGTATGGCATTTGAGCCGTGAGGCATTACCAACCATGTTAAACCTTAACTGGAGAGGTTTGACTGTAAACACAGCATGCCCAAGGTGTGGTGAAGTGGAAGAATCGGTGCTGCATGCAAGCCTTCAATGCCCGCACGCTTTAAGGGTATGGAGTCACCTAAAGCTACATTAAAATGATTGGAACAACCTTACTGATACTGCAGCGTGGATAAAACATGCATGTAACAACTTAAAAGATGGGCAACTGGAGCCTTTATGACAGCAATATAAGGGATATGGGGAGAATATAACAAGGAAAAGCATGGTGAACAGAGGAAATCACCACAAGCAACAGCATGCTTTCTTCAACAATATAATGCAGAATAAGGTACGTATCAGGTTGGGAAAGAAAGTCAATAGCTCTTAACACAGCAATGGACCCAGCTGGTACAAGGGCTAGTTAAAGTCAATTTCGATGGATCCTTTTGTCGACAGGAACGGAAAGAAGGCATAGGAATTATTATTAGAGACCATCAGGGCGCAGTTCTTGGAGCCGCAGCAATTCAAATAAGTGGTGTTAGCAACCCATTTCAAGCTAAAGCAAGAGCAGCGGTGATTGCTATAAAGTTTGAAAACGTATTGTTGAAGGGTTAGCAATGATCAGAAAACTGAAGATGACGGAGTTTGATCTATCACCTATAGGCACGATCATAGAGGAGGCAAGATGGAGGTTGGCCAGTTTTCAACTATGCCAAATCATGCATGTATTACGAATAGGAAATAGGGTAGCACACCAACTTGCATGCCATAGCTTACGCATAGAAAGTGATGAATATTAGGTAGAAGACTACCCTGATGTAATAGTTGAAGCATTGCATGGTGATTGTAACCAAGCTTGAGTAATAAAGTTCATTTCCTTTCCTTTCAAAAAACAATAATAATAATAAACATATTTTTCTATGACTAAAGTATGGAGCCAAACATTGAACTCAAATCATATAATATTGCCTTCATATGATCAGAAATTGCAGACATATATATAAGAACCTAACTAAGAAAATTTGCTACCAATAACAACAAAATCTTGAAACAATTTAACTTCTAATTAAATTTAAGATATTTTTACTGAAGTGAATTAGGACATTTCACATACACACATGGAAGATAAAAGAAAAGTAAAATACTTGTTAAAACCTCTGATTTTCCTTCAACGGTTTATGTGTTGTATATAGAGTAAGACGTATATGTATCGCTTGAAAAGGATTGAAAATACTACCAAAGTTCATTTTTTTTAAAAAATACGACTAAAGTTTGCATAAATCAATCAAGCAGATAAATTTGCACAAACCACTTTTTGATTCAAGCAGGTGATATCTAAATAGAAGACCACCGAGAGCTAGTTAAAACATATTTGTGTCACATATTCTAAAAATACTCCTTTGAGTTTTACATGAGTCACGTATGATTTCAGAATTTTAGGCTCCACTCGTTCTTATATAGATCCCTTTGATTGACATTTTATAAAATTTATAAAGTCAATTATGAAATATAATTTGTATAAAATTTCTTATTTAAGCTTTGTTAGAAAATTAAAAAAAAAAATTTACTTAGATAAACTATTTACAAATATTTATTTATTGACTTTAATGCTTTAAAATTCACTTTAATAATAAAGGTCAACTTATTACTCACTAAGTATTTATTGACAGTGTACAAGGTTACTAACAATCCATTGACAGTATACAAGTTGTATGATGAGACAAATTTATACGAAAAATTTTAAGTAAAATTTATAATTTTTTTAAAAAATGATTTTATATAAACTTTAATAAAAATCAAAGCCGATTGATTGATTAAATTCGTTAATTAAATTTCACTTGAAATTTAAAATTTTTCATTAATTATTTCTACAAAACTTCATAAAATTTACTTAAAAATTTTCATCAAATTGAAAGGAACTTCACTTAAAAAAACTTTTATGTAATTAAATCATTAATAATAATTTATGGTAAGAAACTTCAAAACTGACTGCACCGCAGTTATTTTATTACTGTCATGAAAATGCATACAAACTTACAAGAAACAGATACAGAAACAGAACATACAAGTGAAAGAAAGCAACATGGATCCATGACCAAATTAAGTAGCTAGGTGCAGCCACAAGCACAAGAAATGACACAAGCGACTAGTAATCTTCAGGGGCCAAGGGCTGGTGCGTGTGGTGGGGAGGCTCTGCTGGTATCACCATATACTCGTATATGAGACCGGCTAGACCTCCTCCAATCAGTGGACCCACCCAGTAGATCCAGTGATTGTTCCAACGCCATCCTACCAAGGCAGGACCAAATGCCCCGGCTGGATTCATGGCTCCTCCATCGAATGGCCCGCCCACTAAGATGTTAGCACTGAAAATTAACCCAATAGCCAGTGGTGCTATTGTCCCCAGGCTTCCTCTTTTCGGATCAATCGCTGTTGCATAAACAGTATACACCAATCCATATGTCAGCACTATTTCCAGTAAAAGACCGCGCAACTCCCCAACTCCGGACGCCACATAGAACCCGGCCGGTCGCTGAAACCAAAAGCCCATACTCATCAAACAGCAAGACAAAATTATACTGTATATATATATATATATATATATAGTTAGTTGTATCCTGATGCATGAATGATATATATACATATATATATATATATATAAAACTACCATTCCAGCCGCAACCAGAAGCAAGAGACAAGCCACGATAGAGCCTAAGAGTTGAGCAACCCAGTAGTAAACCGCACGAATAAGCGTGATCCTTCCTCCGACCAGGGCACCAAAGGTGACTGCTGGATTCAGATGGCCACCAGAGACGTTAATACTGGATGCCACAGCTGAAAACAGTGACAAGCCATGCGCAAGTGCTATCATCACCAGTCTTGCAGGCGTTGTACTGGTATCCTTGTGCATCTTGTCTGCAACAAATTACAAATGAAGTAAGATGTCACTCCAAGTAATAAAGATGAAAAGTTTAAGACTTCAGTGTTAAGACACTACCAAGAGCAAGAACTGAGCCTTCGCCGGCAAAGACGAAAATGCAAGTGGAGAAGAATTCAGCCAAGGTGGCTCGCATGGAGTCTGGATGAGTGGCCTCATCAGCCCTCCCAAAAGCGTATCTGCGAGGCGGCATGTTTTCCCTCCTCTACCTTAACTTCTTATCTTGTCTGTCTTTACAGTTTCAGAAAAAAATCAGCTAAAACTATAGATGGTGAAAAATTGCACTGCGGCTTTAGCTTCTGCTCCTTCACTTTGAAAATGATGGTGCAAGCGCAGAGAACAAGAGAAGAAATAGATAAAGAGAAACAAAGAAGCAGGGGAAAGGGAAACTCAAAAAACAGAAAATTGATTACCGAGGCCGGAGTGTGGTGCATGCATGAGAAGTGGAAGTGGATTCGCTTAAATTAGCCAAAGAGGGGTTGGACTTATGTGGGACACTTGGGGGATGTTAATGCATCAAGCTTAACACGTACATATCTATGTGTAGCCTTCTCATTCCTATTCTTATCTCTTAATTACCAACTGGAACACCCTCTCGTCTCCTTCTTTTCTCTTTACCTCATGATTTTGTGGTCCACAGATATAGAGTTCTTTTTTTGTTTTTTTCCTTTTCAAGAAAAAAGAAAAAAGAAATTAAGAACAATAGTTTATTACGAAATTGATCTTGTTGCGCCATCATCAGAGAAAGAAACAATATTAACTAAGAGGCACCCTCGCTCCGCGTCGGGTCATTGAACAACAACTTAGCAACAATGGTTCCATAGCAATCCAATAATCATTTTAATTAACAATATTAAATTCTAGTTTCATTGCCTTTCTTCCCATAATTAAATTAGCAAGGCATAATAAACAAAGCAAACCAAAAAAATTACATTGAACAAAAACTATTCAACAAACTTAACTTCAAATGCAATGTAGATTGCAAAGATACTTCATGTATCACTAATTTTTTAAAAATTAAATACCTTATAATTATAATTATCTCAATTTTGATGTTCTTTTGTATGAGACACTGGATCTGCCCTCTCAAACTCAACATCTGCTTTCAATTATTTCATAGCCTCGCATCCTGTGCTAACTTGAGAACTGAGTTAAGAGTAACTGGTGAAAATCCATAGACTTGGGAGCCTAGATTGCCTGCAAAAGATATCTGACGTAGCTTGCTTTTGATTTTCTGCAAACTGAATGCAAAGCTGATAAATCATGGGCGGCTAATATTTGATTGGCACTAAGTTCAATATTCCATACACAGGTTACCCAGGATTTATGCAAAGCATATGCCACACAAGCAAACCTATTTATTAATATTTTTCAGAATAAATATTATTTCATTAGAAAAATTGAACATACCTGGACTGTTTTTATTCAAAGCTGCAGTTGGAATTTTGATGGAACTTTGGATCAGTCAAGTGGACATCAAAAGAACAAATTTTTTTGAGTAAGATTATTAATTAAACAATGCATATTTCAAAGCTATAATGTTTAAATAATGTATTGCGAAGAAAAATTGTATTTCATAATGACAATATAGCAGGAAGAGTAAGTATCGGTAGCTAAAAACAAAGAAACATTTGTACCAACAACCAAAATTTTAAAAAATTTCATGATACACAACAAAAAAGTTGTGTTATTGTTTGTGTTTCTGTTGATTTGAAGGCTTTAGTTTCAAAATCAAGCACAAACATTTCAAACAACAATAAAGAAAGTCAGAATCCAACGAAATTTTCAATGCAATTCTACAAAAACAATTAAACAGGATTTGGGTAACAGGAAAGCCAAATTCAAATTCATTTTCAAAGTGAAGCATAAACATTTAAACAACAATAAAAGGAAAATTTTAATTCTCACATGAGCAATTGGAGATGTTAATTTGCAAATGGTAGAACTTTCCTGCATTAAATTAAAAGACAGACACATAAACAAAAGATGTTTGAATATTTGTTTTGAGTGAGACATTTTTTTGCTAAAATTACTGAAACACTAAGAAAGGGGAAATTTTAGACAAATAACTGACATGTTTTATTTTTAAACTTTAAAGATAATAAAAAATAATAATTCAATTACCAAACTAAACCAAGAAAATGTGGTCTAGGTATTTTAATAGAACTGTGAAATTGTGAGTGTTCTAATGTTTTTACCTTTGTTTGAATGCCTTTTGAACACGATTGCTTCTAAGCAATTGCAGAGAAGGAAACTTTCACTCTTCTCGAAATTGAAAATTTTAAAAAGGTTGTTTTTGAACGTACCAATTCTTCAATAAAAATTAGACAGAATAGATGAGTGTGATAAAAAAATAATTCAATTATCAAACTAAAAAAGAAAAAGATGTTATGGGTATTCCAATAGAAATATGAAATTGTTAGTTTTCAAAGATTTTTACCTTTGTTTGAACTTCTAACGAACATTATTGTTTTAACACAATTACATAAGCAGCAACTTCCAAGCTTCACGAAATTGAGAAATTTTAAAAAAGTTGTTGTCAAACTTATCAATTCTTGAAGAAAAATTTAAACATGAGGGCAGAAGCGGAGTTGAATTGATTTTTCGATTTATTTTCGAAAAAATTTAAGTATGGAAGGTGAATCATTTTCCTGAATAAAGAAAAAGAGAAAAATTGAAAGGGATGGAATAATGATAAAGGAATTGAAAAGAATGAAACAATGAAGAAAATTAATTAAATGAACTCCCCCTAGTAACAACCCTCTTCAAGTTCAACGAATAGAGTTTTTCTCTTGAAAAATATAAGTCAAACGATATTAACTCAGGGTGGAAGAGTTTGAAAAGAAAAACCCGAGACACATAAAGGAAGGTTAAAGAATTGGAAGGCCCAAAGTCACGACATCTCTAATCTTTTCCCCCTTGTACAAATTTCAGTAACCATTGCTTGGTTTATTGTTTTTCTTTTCCCCAAAAACCATTCACATGGCACAAAATAAATGGGCATGAAATGAAAAGTCATGAGAAGGCCAGAGTCTATATTGTGTCAAGATCATATAATTGGCCACGTGTCATCATTTTAACTATTGTAGACAAAAATAATTTAACAATAGATAGATAGATAAATTAATATTGTTTAATATTTGTAAAGGTTATATAGGAGTAGATGCGACAGGCTGAGGTTGGGTCGGGTTTGAATTGATTTCATTTAGGTTATTTTAAATTCGGGTTATTTTAATTTGATATTTAAATTATTTAAATTTGAATTATTGAAATTGAGTCGAATTTAAATTATTGAGTTTTAAAATCAAATTAATATAATTTTTTATCATCATAGATTAGTCTTTTGACCGTAAGTTTAAATAATTTCATATTTAAATTTAGATTATTTTAAATTTGAGTTGGATAAATTTAAATTGTTTACTTTTTAAAATTAAATCAGAATGCATAAGATCAAGTTCGAATAAAATATAGGGTTAACTTTAACGGAGTGTAATTGTATTATCGTAATCATTTGCGAAATTAAATACTTTTCAAATAACTAATATAATTGATTAACCGAATAAACAAACATTTTAGATTTCCAATCAATTTTGAAATTATCCAACAAGTACATATTTGTAGACAATATATATATATATATATATAGAGGCTAGAACTAAGTGCATCATGTTAGTGTGTGCCTTATGAGCAATCGAATTGGTATTATGATGCATGCATGTTATATTAAACATAATTTTATTAATTAAGGCATTATTTACCAACAAAATTTTTATATTTAACAGTACTTACCTATTAGATAAAGTCCATGGAACAAGTTAAGCTTTACGTAAAAAATTACAAAAAAATTGTAATTATGACATTTCTATCGCATAAAAGCATTATTCTTAAAATGTTCTTAGTCGATACTTTATCAAAAAATGGATATTGATAGAAGTTGTTAAGACTGATATATGTTCATGCTTTTACTTACAAAGTAAGCAATTGATTTTATAAGTTGAAATATGAATATACTTGAATTAAACATGTAGTTGTTTGTTACAAAGATAAGTACATTGCAAATGATTCGAAATGAGAATGTCATTTGGTAATCATTTATGTGTTTATGGTAAAATTCTCATGTAATGATCCTATAAGTGATCTTTTGACTTGAGGTCCTTACCTAGCTTCTATAATAATTGTTATGCTTTGATATCATTCTTATATGATCCTAACCAAAGATGCTTAGTAGGGGATATTAGGTATAACATAAATTATCATATGAAGATAGGAACATGATCAAGATAGGATATATCACCCTAAGTGAATGAGCGAATATCTCATTATTATTTAGAAGGATTAACTCTTGTAATTTATAACTAAAATGGAATGAAGTTTTGAATATGTTCAAAGTTCAATTAAAAATGATAATAATTTTGAGAATCACTATAGGAAAATGAAGATTTGGTGGTTTTTATTTTATTTTTTTATAGTGTTTTCTAATAAACACCGTTAAGTGATATACCTTTATAAACTTTGCATCGTTTTTTATACAAACGTTGCTAAATTTTTTATTTAATGGCGTTTATAGCAAAAATGCCATTAATCTCAAATATCTAGCGGCGTTTTAGTTATAAATGCCACTAAAATTTAAAATTTAGCGGTATTTATGTTTAAAACACCATAAAATGACTTTTGTTTTTAAATTTATTAAAATTTAAAAAGTAAAATTTTCTTAAAGTTTAACCTATACGGATCGTTTGGACTATTAGCAGCGTTTTTTTTAAAAAGAAACACCTCAATTTTGCAAAAATTAATGGTGTTTATTTTCACAAACGTCGCTAATAAGGCCTAAAATCTGAAATACACCTAACCCTTCCATTTTTGCCCAAAAAATATGAGTTTTCCCCCTTCCATTCATTTCCATTTTCCTTTTACTAGATTTTTTCTATAATAATGTAAGTCCATTCATTTCCATTTTCCTTCTACTAGATTTCTTCTATAATAATGTAAGTTAGTTTGTTATCAAATTTTATAGTTTTTATTTTTTGTATTAATACTGTTGCTGGATTAAACGACCATTGATTCTTCTCTCTCTTTATTCCTACAATTTAAACAACCATAAATTTTGAAGTTTAAATCTCCTTCTCCCTTCCCATGCTTTAAATATCCTTTTCTTCAATCTCTCCATTCCACCAATTTAAATGGAATATAAGGGAAAAAAAAAGAGAAAAGATTTTGTTCTGTTTAAATTAAAAACCCTAGAATTTGAGAGATTTTTCTTTTTGGATTTTGATGGTGAACTTGATAATTTTATCGCCAAAAGGTTGAAAAATGTGCTATTGAGCTAAGCTGACATTAACATATTTTATTTCGCTTTGTCTTGTTTTTTTATAAATGATACCAGAAGCTAAAAGAAGCTAAATCATACCAAAAGCTGAAAAAAGTTGTTTCATACAAGGTTTTATCTTTCTTGTTTTCTTATAAATGATTGCCTATTATGTAGTGTAAGATGAATACATTATATTGGTTTGGGATTTCTAGAATCATT